TCCTCGCAGACCCTCGACGTCCCGCCGGACCTTGACCACCAGCTGGGGTCCCTGGCTCCACATCCCTCGGACATCGCCCTCTCACCTCCGGGCACCCTCCTGGCGTTGGGCGCGCACCCCTGGGGGGCAGACAACTTCACTCACAGGACACAGGAACCGGGTAGGGGTAACGAAAGCACTAGAAAGTGTCACTTGGTCATGGCGGCCTCTGAGGGCTGCGGGCTGACGTACTCTCACACCCTCCCTCCGAAGTTCAGCCTCTCGCTTTGGCCGGAGCCGGCCATGAACTGGGGCCCGAAAGGGGCCTGAGGGAGCCACACCGACAACAGGAACTTTCTATCGGTGCAGAACAATGGGAACTGTGGAAACGGAGCACCCGGCAGTCCTCCCAGTAGTGCATGGGGGCAGGCTGCGCCCCACTGGGGAACAGCGGGGGACGAGGAGTGCGGACGCCACCATGATGCCCAGCTCCCCGCCTCAGCCTCCCACTTGGGTGGCAGCCCCGCGGCCCCAGGCGCCCCACAAACTACCGCGCCAGCTCTGGCCTCCATCCCCGGCGAGGGAGGGTGGCAGAAACCCGAACGCTGGCCCCGAGGTGCCAGTCCAGAGAGTGCCCTGGGGCCCGCTCAGATCGCCCGCGCCCCGCACCCACCTAGGCGCCGGTACCTGGGCCCCGACGCCTCTGCCTGCCGGGGCCCCATGCCGCTCCCCTGTACCCGTCGGGTCCTTCTGTACCTGCCGCCCTCCGCACGACGTGTTGCTCCATGCCTGGGGACCCGGAGGCAGCGCTGGTCACAACTGCCACGGCCACACAGAACGCGAGGGCGCAAGCCGGGGCGCCCATCACGGGGGCGGGTGTTACGGCGTCTTCAGGCGGCGCGCGCCGGCATGCTGTCCCCCATGGCCCGGCTCTGGCACCGGCAGGAGGAGGCGCCGCTAGAGTCTGCTGGAGGAGGCGGGCAACTTGTTACTCCAGCGGGCCGGGGAGTGCAGGAGCGGAGA